TTCTTCCACTGAACATTTTCAGTAGTCACTCAGGAAAAGTATCATGTGTGTATTACCAGCCTTACTGAGGCTGTGGGAAGAAAAGCGTGTAAGAACTGGCTAGAGGGCCTCAGTGAGGCTGGTGATGTAGATATCACCACTTTCCCTGAGTTGAGATCAGAGATTCAACTGGGGATGATTTTTCAATATCCCCCCATGGGATATTTGAATAAAGAGTCTGTGATTGTCTCAAGTGGTGGAAAGGTGCTACTTGTGTCTAGTGGGTAGAATCCAGCAGCTTCCTGTAATGCATAGGACAGTTCCCATGGCAAAGAATTATAGCACTCAAAATATCAGCAGTTCTGAGGTTGAGAAATCCTGGTCCAGACCACAACATGGGATCAGGTCTTCCTAACAAGACTAGTTGTGGGGTGCAGGCTCAGTAGGATAGTAAGAAAGATAGCAAGGATCTGATAAATTGGGAAGGAAACATATGGAGTCAGTGGAAGAGTGGACTTCCTAAAGCTGAAAAGCAGGTACAATTGAAGTGTGTTTAAGAAGACTAAGAAGTCTAATACTAGAAGACTAAGAGGTAAGGTCATAGTGCAGCTACAGTTGAGGATTTCAGATGTATAATAAATCTGTGTAAAGATGAGGTACATGAGTAGAGGAACAAGTTTAAACAGTCTGACTTGTGATATAGCAGTGAACAGCTGAACCTGGTAGGGAAGACATTCAGAAGACCATATGATGTATATGGATATACCAGTTTTTCTTAACTTTTTTTTTTTGAGACAGTCTCATGTTGCTCTTGGTAGAGTGCTATGGCATCATAGCTCAAAGCAACCTCAAACTCCTGGGCTTAAGTGATTCTCTTGCCTCAGCCTCCCAAGTAGCTGGGATCTCAAAATTTTTTTTTTTTTTTTTGAGACAGAGCCTCAAGCTATCCCCCTGGGTAGAGTGCTATGGCATCACGCTCACAGCAACCTCCAACTCCTGGGCTCAAGCGAGTCTCCTGCCTCAGCCTCCCAAGTAGCTGGGACTACAGGTGCCTGCCACAACGCCTGGCCATTTTTTGGTTGCAGCCATCATTGTTGTTTGGCGGGCCCGGGCTGGGGATTTGAACCCGCCACCTTAGGTGTATGTGGCTGGCGCCTTAGCCACTTGAGCCACAGGCGCCGAGCCAGGATCTCAAAATTTTTATAACCCACACCCTACTTTTCATATGCCTATAACTTTCACATTTTCTCTCCTTCACTATTATTTTTATTACTTTTTTGAGACAGAGTCCCACTTTGATACACTTGCTTTAGTGTGCTGTGTCATCATACTTTATAGCAACCTCAAACTCTTAGGCTCAAATGATGCTTTTGCCTCAGCCTCCCAAGTAGCTGGGACTATAGGTGCCAGCCACAACACCTGGCTATTTTTAGAGATGGGGTCTTGCTCTTGCTTAGGCTGGTCTTGAACTCCAGAGCTCAAGGTATCCACATGCCTAGGCCTCCCATAGTGCTAGGATTAGAGGTGTGAGTCACGTTGCCTGGCCTTCACTATTATTTTAAATTTAAAAATTAAGCATCATGACTAAAATTAATCAAAGCAATGATAATTTTAGAAGGAAAAAATTCTATTCAGATGATATGATCACCATGTCACTGTTAAACATGAACTCTTATTTTCTGGGTGGTGTAGAAGATGCCAGAAAACACAAGCTGCTTTCAGTAACACTCTTTACTCTTCCACTGTTTTCTCCCCATAGCTAGAAATACCGCAAAAAAGAAAAAAGCTTTTTAAGATGTAAGGAGAAAATGGAATAATGAATGGAATAAAGCCTGGAATAAAGCCAGATCTTTATATCTGTTTCTCTAGAGTATTTATTTAGAAGTTTCTAGTCAAAACAATCAGACTTTGAGTTTCACAGACTCCTGTTAAAGCTCTTCTAGTAAGAACTAGAACATTGGCATGAACGAAGCACATTCCTCCCAAAAGCTACCGTAGGTGGGTTTTAAGAACCAGGTCAGGAACATATCATCTGAACAATTCTGAAGATTTCACTTTTTTCCTTAAAATAACATTGGTGAATCTGGTCCTCAAAAGATTGGCCAAGGAAATTAGACATTTTTAGCATGAGTTTGCTAAATGTGTATATACACATGCTGTATTTTTATGATTACATTTTTGGCAAGGTTTGAAGTATTTCATAATGAGCAGTGATGTTGGTGTGTGCCCCTTAACATTTCAAGGTCACTGTATTTTAAGCTTCAATTTTAAACTCTGCTTAAAATATCAAAAAAATTTTAAATTTTCAAGTATAGATTCTTTTTTATTGTTCCAACACTGGAGTTGTTCTGCCTATAAATTCAACTGAATACAGTTCTGTTTGACAATCAAGAAACTTTTAGTATATAATAGGAAACAATGAATAGCACTCAAATCTTCAAAAAGCAAGACAAACTAGGATGGAATGTACTGTTTCTCTTAACGATCTGTGCTGACAAGGCTGAAGATTTCTAGTAGATAACGGGGAATTGATAGAAGTTGATGCTTGATGGTGACTGTTGTAGAACATTTAGAAGGCAGATTTTCTTCAGTTTCTTGCCAAAACACTAGATCTAAAACAGTGGTTCTCAACCTTCCTAATGCCGCGGCCCTTTAATACAGTTCCTGTGGGTTATGACCTACGGGTTGAGAACTGCTGATCTAAAATATGGAATTGCTTCACCACTATAACTAACACTTTGAATCCCATAATGGCACAAACGTATTTATGATCTATGTACAAATGACCGAATTAAAAAAAAAAAAAACAAGAAAGAAAGAAAAAAAATATGGAATTGCTGTAGCACGTTCAACCTATACTCTGATAAGATTTCTTCCAACTCAGTTCATTTGATACAGTTTCAAAAATATTGTCTTTAGTGTTTAAGTGCTAGGCTTATGAAAAGAGCACATTCAGTTTCAAAAGCCTTTTGAACATAAAGTACAGTTTTCTTCACCAGTAGATTCAGTTCTACTAGTAGCAATGAAGGGTGAGTAGACTTTTTTAAAACCTAAAGTTTGATATACTCAGTGATTCATTCAGAGTTAAGACTGCAGAAGTGGATGAAGAGATTTTGGATTCCTTAATTTCCTCTCAAATTTATGGCAGTACTTAGAATGCAAGGTTTCACAAATTTCTCCATTTTTTTCTCCTTTTCAATTAAAATGGCTGCTTAGGGGCGGCGCCCATGGCTCAAAGGAGTAGGGCGCTGTCCCCATATGCCAGAGGTGGCGGGTTCAAGCCCAGCTCCAGCCAAAAACTGCAAAATAAATAAATAAATAAAGCAGCTACTTAATATAAAGCTTTCATAGCCTTTGAAGATTCCTGTTAATATCCCAATACTGTCCATTCTTAAAACTGCAGAGAATTATGCTTTGCAGAACACTCCACTGTTTTTAATAGCATGAATTTAATGGTGTTTGGCATAGTGTCACTGCTTCACACTTTCAGATAACACAACTGAAGACCCTATCTTCCCCATCAAAATGCGATTATGATTAAAGCCTCAAAAACTTTGTGGCTACCACTTTTAGCTACTCAAAGGAGAAAACAGAAAAACAAGGAGTACTGGTGATGGCAGCATCTGGTCTCTATTGCAGAGTGAGAAATAATTTTACTGGCAGCAGTTGGGTGGCAGGGCAATCCAGGCATCCAGTTATGCCTGAGTACTTTTTTTTTTTTTTTGCAGTTTTTGGCCAGGGGCTGGGTTTGAACCCGCTACCTCCAGTATATGGGGCCAGTGCCCTACTCCTTTCAGCCACAGGTGATGCCCTGAGCACATTTTTTTTTATTTTTTTATTTTTTATTTTTTGAGACAGAGCCTCAAGCTGTCCTCCTAGGTAGAGTGCCCTGGCATCACAGCTCACAGCAACCTCCAACTCCTGGGCTCAAGCGAGTCTCCTGCCTCTGCCTCCCAAGTA